GTTGCTGCGGACAACATATGTGCTCTTCAGGACGTTTCGTTCAACGCGAGCACCAACTTCAACGAGAAGTCGTCATCACTGTCGCCAATAATCAGAACCTGCGCACACGACGACAAGGAGTAGTGCAACTTCAGTCACGAGAGACGAATGTCATACTGCAAATGTCCAAAGTCCTAATAGCAGAAGGACTTGGCTACAACTTACTGAGCGTCAGTCAGTTGATGGCGAAAGGCATACATCTGGAAGCCGACAGTACCACCCAGGAGTTCAAGCTGTACCACGGGAAGGGCGGCCTCTACATCGGAAAGGCGGTCTTGAAGAACAATGTCTTCGTTCTCGATTTCGTCCCAGACCTGGGCACCGCAGACAGTGACGGGATCGTCACCTTCACATCTTGGACGCACCCGCCGGATCTCGACCCCGAATTCAGTCCGGAAGGCTTTTGGTATTCACATACCATTCCTGAAGCAGAACGAACACGTGCGTTAGTAACAATACAACATTCGGCAGCAGCAGAGACAACATCGGCAGCAACAGAGACAACATCCGCAGCAGCAGAGACAACATCGGCAGCAGCAGAGACAACATCGGCAGCAGCAGAGACAACATCGGCAGCAGCAGAGACAACATCGGCAGCAGCAGAGACATCATCGGCAGCAGCAGAGACATCATCGGCAGTAGCAGGAACAACAACAGTAGCAGCAACAACGACACCACTCCTCGTTGACGAAGCACCACCAACACCCGCACAGCAGCTGAATCCGGCTCAACGGGAAGTCCATAGAAGCGCAAACTTCACCGCCAGCTTCTACTCCAACTCCGACGCGTATCGACGCTCACCCGGACACCGCGCCTCCGAAGACATCTGGCACGCACGCATGGGACACCCAAGCAACACTGTGTTAAACAACACAATAAGAGCAGGAGTCCTTGACAAGGACTCGTTACTACTACTCGACGGCAGAGAACTTCAACGGGCACGAGGAACATGTCTTACCTGCCCCGAAGCCGACTTACCACATCGGCCGTTCACTCCTCATCACAACCCGAGCACACCCGCGTACGCACCACTCGAAAAGGTGTATAGCGACATCCTGTACAATCGGGAACCAGGACAAGTAATATACAACTACACAATCACCTTCATCGACGCCGCCACCCGTTACGTCTGGCATCTAAACCTACCCAGCCGCGACATGGTCCTCGAAGCATTCGCTGCTTGGCTACCAGTAGCAGAAAGAGAGTCGGGCGTAAAGCTGAAAAGCTTCCAGTCTGACGGAGGAGGAGAATACACCTCTCAGCGATTCAAGCAGTACCTGGCGGAAAGGGGAATCAAGCAGCTCCTCTCTCTTCCCTACGCCCATCAGCAGCAAGGTGTAGCAGAAAGAAAGAACAGGACTCTGCAGAACAGCATGCGCAAACTGTTGCGTGGCTTGCGGCTACCCAACCACCAGTGGCCTGACGCGATGGACCACGCTGTCATGCTGCACAACTTGCTCTCATCTTCATCACTACCGAACAACGCATCACCGCATCTGCTGTGGACAGGAAAACAGGGCAGCACAAAAATGTTACGAGTGTTCGGATGCATGGTACAGTACCGACCCCCAGCAGCACGAGCGGGCCGATTTTCACAACGCGCACAGTGGGGACTACACCTCGGCATCAAAAAGAACTACAACGCGTGGAAAATCTTTGACGTCCACTCCAAGGAAACAGTAGCAGCACGCGACGTCATTTTCTACGAACGACTCACGCTCCAGACATACCTTGCCAACCTGCAAGAGGACCAAGATCCCACAGGTGGTTTTCGTGGTGACCGAGCCTTCGCCTCGGCAGCAGACGAAGCTGACTGGGACGAGCAGAATGTGGCCAACGCATCAGAAGAAGCTGGACCCCTTCCGTTCTGCTCCGTCGACGTCCCCATGGACGAAGATAACCCTCGCGAAAGTGTCAACGCCGAAACCTTCTACTACTTCGCCGACAACGGTTACGTAACACCTGCGACAGTCAACACCAACGAAGCAGAACGAGTAGGACCGAATTTCATACCTGATCCAGAAGCGGGAGATGAAGCAGCTTATCCCGAGGATGCAACTCTTCCCCGCTACTCACAGACTGGACTGCAGATTCTCGGACTCGTCACCGCAGTCCACGGCAACACTCTTCCTAAGGAGTCTGCGACGGTTCAGCAGGCTCTGGGGGGGGAACACAGGGAAAAATGGCGTGAAGCCATGGACAGAGAGTTAAAGGCGCTGGAGGAACGGAACACCTGGAAAGTTGTCCCCATCAGCGTGGCAAGGAACAAGACCATTCTCACCGGGAAATGGGTCTTCCGCGTTAAAACAAAAGCAGACGGCACAATTGAGAAGTTCAAAGCACGCTGGGTTGTGCGTGGATTCGATCAGGAGCACGGACGGGACTTCACCGAGACATTCGCCCCGGTTAGCCGACATACCTCACTTCGAATCCTCCTCGCGATCGCCGCCATGAAGAAAAGGAAGCTACGGCAAATCGATGTCGCCAACGCGTTCCTCTACGCACCTGTCGACGTGGAAATCTTCGTCGAGCTCCCACACGGTACCAACGGGGAACCTAACCAAGTCTGTCAACTGCTGAAATCACTTTACGGGATCAAGCAAGCTCCGCGGCTATGGCAACAGTACCTACACGCTCGCCTCATTCGCATCGGATTCCGCCAACTACCTCACGACCAAGGAATGTACCGACTCACTAAAGACACCGACTACATTCTGTTGATCGTCTACGTAGACGACCTACTCTACATCGGCTCCACTGACGACATCACCACCTGGTTCGAAGGGGAGCTACAGAGGGACCTCACACTCACGGTCTCCTCTACCGTCACACAGTACCTCGGCTTGAACATTCGGGAAGAAGAAGGCGCGATCTACCTCAACGCCGCTAAGTACGCCGACACCATCGCCAAACGCTTCGCGCTCACAGCTACCACCATCTCTACGCCCTACCGCTACGCGACAGGAAACCACAAGGAAGGATCCTCTCTACTCAAATCCGCCGGGATACGCGACTACCAGAGAAAGCTAGGATGCCTTCTCTTCGCAGCTGTCACCTGCCGCCCCGACCTCTCATACTCCGCAAGCCAGCTCGCCACCTACCTCAAGAAGCCTGAAGCAGAACACCTGGCGGAGCTCGACCACGCTCTCCACTACTTCGTCAGTACCTCAACGATCGGCCTAACTTACTACAAGAACACAACTACACCGACTAAATTAATCGGCTACGTCGACGCTGATCACGCTGGCGACTCCGACAACAAGCGCTCCCGCACCGGCTACATCTACCGCCTCGAACCTATCGGACCGATCTCCTGGCAATCGAGCAAGCAGGAATTAATTGCTCTCTCGTCAGCTGAAGCAGAATATATTGCACTCTGCTCAGCCACCAAGGAAGGACTCTATCTTCGCGAGCTGCTGGAAGAAGCGAAGTTAGCCGAGTTACCCAACTTCACTCTGTTCTGCGACAACCAATCTGCAATTCGCATCGCCAACAAAAATGGATTCGCGAACAGAACGAAGCATATCGCTCTGCAATATTTCTTCGTGAAAGACGAGATTGAGAAGGGGAGACTTGAACTATCCTTCTGTCCCACGTCCGAGATGGCAGCTGACTACTTGACCAAGAAGCTCGGAAAACAGAAGTTCGAGTACTGCATGCTGCTGACTGGACAAAGCCACGTCACCAGCAGCGACACTCCAGAAGCGAAGGGGAGTGTTGGGAACAAACAATCTTAAGCGCCTCTGTCGTGTCGAAACACCAAGGCACAAGCGAAGCAGAGCATATCGAGGCACCAGCGAGTCAACCCTCGGAGGTTGAAGTAACCGCTGGAGGTTACGCGAAAGTCAAAGGTCAGCGACCTTTGACTTGACAAATGCAGCGCGACAGCAAGGACACACAACTGACTCGACATTGAGCAGTTGCCCGAGTCGCACTGTATCGAACCGCAACAGTAAAAACAGTTTAATTATATCTCTTCGTATTCTTTGTACTCTTATATAAACCTTTGTACTTGCTTGTTTTAATCAACTTACTTTGCCCTCACATACCAGCGCAAGGTGGTTCAAGGACTTCATTTAAACGCTTCCGCTACTACATCACTCTACCCAGAGTTTAACCCTACCAAAGATCCTAAGGGGCACTCAGCCCAACACATGGCAGGTAAGGGGGCAACCAGTGGCAGTAGTGCTGGTGCATGGGGAATAAATCAATTACCTGTACATACGGTAGTAGTACTACACCTAGCAGTGAGATGGACAGACATGCGTTGTGCAACAAGAATCTTGAATGAAGTGTGTAGATGTCCCGCAGCTTCACCATCGCCTCTGGCCTGCAATGCTTCATTTCGTGGGTGCAACTGCGGCACCTTCACTGCTCCGCGCCCCGTGTGTCTCGCTTGCAGATGGGGCACACTGCTCGGCGCCTCAACCACTCATCAATGCACTGCCAAGAGCAGGGAGGGGCAGCAGCCAATGTAGGCAGAAAGGGTGGCGGAGGAAAGAACAGCGATGACACTGAGAGAACCGAGAAAATCTATATGCTAACTCGCGGAGCTCATCCCACAAGAAGAAATGGAACAAAAAAAACAAAAAAACAAAAAAAAACAAAAAAAACAGAGGTTCAGCGCTCATGCTGTGATTATGAATGTGGTGATAAGCATTTCAATGACCCGTGTGCTTCCATCTCATGGAATTACTAACATTTGACTATGACATGCACAAATCGTGGAAGCCAGTCAATCCAAGTTCACTTGTTTATCCAAGTTCACTTGTTTCAAGCCAAGTGCAATTCACATTTCGGTGGAAGGGTTGGTCGACTCACCCTTTTGACTCACCCTTTTGACTCGCGCTTTTGACTCATGCTTTTTACTCACCCTTTTGACTCATGCTTTTGACTCACGCTTTTGGCTCACGCTTTTGACTCACGCTTCTTGTTACAAAAAATGACTTTGGTTGACTCACATCGCGATGGAAGGCATGGGAGCAGGGTAGGCGGCGGATGACTTCAGGCGGGGAGGGCACCTCAATGCAGATGGCACACGGGCCCAGATCGCTGTCATGTGCCTGGCAGGGGGGAGATGGGCGATGGAGGTATGGCAGGGGGGAGATGGGCGATGGAGGTATGGCAGGGGGGAGATGGGCGATGGAGGTATGGCAGGGGGGAGATGGGCGATGGAGGTATGGCAGGGGGGAGATGGGCGATGGAGGTATGGCAGGGGGGAGATGGGCGATGGAGGTATGGCAGGGGGGAGATGGGTGATGGAGGTATGGCAGGGGGGAGATGGGCGATGGAGGTATGGCAGGGGGGAAGAGACGGAGTTGTCTTTGACAATGCTGCTACCCAGGTCGCTATGGTATGGCTGGAATGGGGAAAACGACCACATGCATGGCAAGGGCAGTGTGCACTGCTGATGGGACATGCATCCCCCGACCCCACACCCCACACCCCACACCCCAGACCCCAGACCAGGCTGCACCAGGCGGAGAGGGGACAGTCACTTCCTTGCCGATGCACTCAGAGCAGTGAGCAGTGCGTGCAGCAAGCGTGGGCATTTCTGTGCTTAAGAGCAGGGCGAACAGGCTGTTGCAATGCGGAGCAACAGGTGCAGGAGAGCAGAGAGGGTACGGACCGTGACGAGGGCGGTGGGCAGGCTGTTGATCTCATCGGGCGTGGCGCCGGGGCGCACGACGGGCGCTGAGATGTCGTCCAGCGCCAGCAGCATCTCGTAGTCCGACCTGCACCTCGTGTGGCGTGGGGAGACGAGCAGGTACGAGAACCACGGGCAGGGAATGTGTGGGGTTAGGTGGGGGAACGGAATGCGGAGAAGGCAGGAAGGAGAGAGAGGGAGCTGTAACCGCACAATGATTGGCAGAGTGGTTGGATTGCAATGAGTGGTTGGATTGCAATGAGTGGTTGGATTGCAATGAGTGGTTGGATTGCAATGAGTGGTTGGATTGCAATGAGTGGTTGGATTGCAATGAGTGGTTTGACCACACAGCGTGGTTGAAGGCGCAAATTCATGGCTACTTAGGAACTGCAAAACTAGGCGCTCAGCCAGAGCAAAGCACAGCAGAGCAGCGCAGGGAGAAGGGAAGGGGGATGGGGCGGGGACACACTCATTGAAGGGGAGGGGGGGCGGGGCGGGGACACACTCATTGAAGGGGAGGGGGGGCGGGGCGGGGACACACTCATTGAAGGCAGGGGGGGCGGGGTGGGGCGGGGACACACTCATTGAAGGGCAGGGGGGGCGGGGCGGGGCGGGGACACACTCATTGAAGGGGAGGGGGCGGGGACACACTCATTGAAGGGGAGGGGGGGCGGGGCGGGACACACTCATTGAAGTCGCGGTCGATGGCGGCGAGGCGGAAGGCGAGAGGGAAGTTGCGCGCGAGGGGGGGGCGGGGGAAGGGGGCGATGCGGTGGAAGGCGGCGTCCACCCCCCCCATGCCCGCCTCCAACGCCTGCCACACCGCCAGCCGCTGATGGGGGGGGAGGGAGGGATGTGTGCACAGAGAAGGGCGGACTGATGAGTGAGCGGGCGGGCAGAAGACAAAACGGCCAAGGAAGTGAGTGGGACAAAGGAACATGCCAAGGAACGAAGTATGGTGTTGGGAGAAGAAGGAAGGGCGTGGGGTAGTGAACAGCGTTATAAGGGGGGATTTCGTGACAGGGGACGGTTGGAGTTGAGAGGTGAAAGGAGGAGAGGGCGAGAACTGAAGGGGGGCGAGGGCAAGGAAAAGGACAGAGCGAGGGCGAGGGCGAGGGAGAGGGAGAGGGTGAGGGAGAGGGTGAGGGAGAGGGCGAGGGAGAGGGCGAGGGCAAGGGGCGCACGTCGGAGATGATTTCAGCGGCGGACCGGAAGGACCTTCCCGCCCTGTCCCGCCTCCACGCCCCCATCACTTGCCGCCTCCTCTCCGCCTCCCCTCCCCTCCTGCTGGCCGCACCCTCCCCTCCCACTCCAACCTCCGCACGAGCAGCAGCAGCAGCAGCGGCAGCGGCATCAGCATGGCCATCAGCAGCAGCAGCTGCCCCCGCTGCTCGCACATCATCCCCGGCATCATCCGCAGCAGCAGGCGCGTTCCCCCCAGCAGGGGCACGGAGCACGGGGCGGGTGGCAGCGTGGTCGCGCAGCATGAGGCGGGTGAGCGCTGAGAACCGCTGCTGCAGCCGCGCGCGCCTCTCCTCCACCGTCTCCCCTCTCCCCGCCTCCACCCACGCCCCTCTCCGCGCCCTGCCTGCACCTTCAGCAGCTGCCGCCTCCCTCACAGCATCCCCCACAGCCGCCACAACACTTGCCAGCGCAGAGCCACCATCCTCATCCCCGTCCTCGTTATTAGCAGCCCCACGACCGCCTTCAGGAGCTCCAGGCTCCAGCCCTGTTTCCCCAACCACCCTCTCCACCGCCTGCCTCGCTCGCCGCTCCACTGCCTCCCGAGCCTCCCTCAGCCGCCGCTCCAGAGCTTCCCGAGCCTCCCGTGCCCGCCGATCCACCGCTTCCCGTTCCTGCTGCGCCCGAGCCTCCACGAGCTGCTGGGCGGCGTGTGCCCGAGCCTCCACAACGTGGCGGGCCACCCGAACGCGCTCCTCCACCAGCCGCTGCAGCCGCCGCCGCCTCTCCCTCGCCTCCTCCTGTGCCGCTCCTCGTGCTGCTGCTGTGCTGCCTCCTGCTGCTGCTGCTGCTGCTGCTGCTGCTGCTGCTGCTGCTCCTTCCGTGATGGCTATACCTACTGTTGTATCGGTGGCTGCTGCTGCTGCTGCTGCCACTGCTGCTGCTGATGCTGCTGCTGCTGCTGCTGCGGAGCGGTGAGCGGCAGAGAGCGCAGCAGAGGCCAGGTCAGGGTGGACATCTGCTGCTTCTGTATCCTCGCCTGCTGCATCTGCTGCATCTGCTGCGTTTGCTGTGTGTCCTTCAGCTGCTGCTCGTGCTGCCTCACTCATCGGCTCATCCAAGGAACCCAGCACTCGCACCCCTTCCCACTCAACCGCTTGCTCACCTGACTCGCCTTGTCTCCCCTCACCCTCCCCTCCCACTGGCCCCTGCCCTCCCATTGGCCTCCCAGCCCCCACCCATGCAGCCCCCATCTCCTCCGCCCCTCCTGCCACCTCCCCACTGGACTCGTCTGCAGCCCCTGCCGTGCCTGCTCCACCCATCCCCCGCACACTCGCCCACTCGCGCCACCTCCTCCGCTCGCCCCCGTCGCCTGCGCCCATGCCCCTCCTCCGCTCCCTCCACGCGTCCAGCCCCCCTGCCTCCCCCCCCTGTCTACCCCCCACCGCCCTGCTGCGCGGCACCTGCCAGCCTGCCTGAGGAGGTGCGGGGGGGGAGAGCGCGGAGGGCAGGAGGAGGGGGCTCCAGTGCGGGGCGAGAGGCAGGTCGGCCGTGGCAGGCGGGGCTGAGGGCGAGGGGTCATGTGGTGCTGCTGCGGCAGGGCGGGCATGCGGGGGTGCTGTGGCAAGGCCGTCATGTGGTGGCATGGCATGGGCGTCTGTGGCTGCGGCATGGGTCACGGTGGCTGGGACAGCATAGTGAGGAGGTCGACTCACAGCATGGGCTGCACCATGGGCTACAGCATTGGCATTGCTCATTCCCTCGCTTCTGTTCATTCCCTCACCGGCCTCCCCACTCATCCCAGCACCATCAGCAACTCCAGCAGCCACATCTACTGCGGCACCATCCCTTTCAAACCCACGCCCCCTTTGAAACAAGAACCCAGTCTCTCCACCCTCTCCGCTCTCCCCTGCCTCCTCGCCATTCCCCCGGCCACCCTCGCCGCCACCACTCCTGCCAGGGCCAGCAGGGCGCCAGGCACGCGGCACTCTGTGCTGGGCGGCAAAGGACGGCAGCAGCAAGGGCTGAGCACCCACGGGGGGCAGGGCATCAGACGGCAGTGGGCGGGCCGGCACAGGAGGTGTGGGGTGCGAAGGCAGTGCAGCAGTGCGGTCACTCCCCTGCCTGCCTACACCCATCCCCACACCCTCCAACCAGCTCTGCTCATCCATGCCATGCCCACGGCCCTCCCCACCCACTCCCCTGCCACGCTCACCCCCACCACCCACACCCATCAGATGCCCGCCGTCCCTCACCCCATCACTCCTGCCAACCGCTGCCTCCCACTCCCCCCTGCCCCTGCTCGTCCGTCCAGCCCTGCTCGCCACCCTCGCCCGCATGCGTGCAGCAGCCCTGTCACGGCCATCCTCCTCCCTGCCCCGCAACTGCCTTGCCTCACCCCGCCACGGCCGCCCGTGCCGGGACCTGCCATGAGCTGACCTGCCATGGGGTGCGCGCGGGGGAGTGCTGCTACCATCTGATTCAGCCATCTCCGCACTGCCCCCCTCGTTGCCCCCCCCGTTGCCCTCCCCCCTGCCACCCACCCTGCCCTCCGCATCCTCATGGCCCTCACCCCTCCCAGCCTCATCACCAGTACCATTGCCCCTCTCCTCCGCCCCGCCCCCCCACCCTCCCCTCCCTAACCTCCCTCCTGTGTGTGGTCCTCTCATCCCCTCCAAACACATCCTGCTCCACTGCCCCTTCGCCTCTCAACACCCCTTCCACCGCACTGCCAGTAACTGCTGCTGCATCCAACACTGGCGACTCGCCTGCTGCTGCTGCTGCTGAAGGTGCTCCACCCCCCCCACCGTGTTGCAGCGCGCCCGTGTGGAGGGCGCCCACACGCACTGCCTGCTCCCACCGCTGCCCCGACAACAACTGCCCTGCTGCTTCCGCCTCGCCAGGACCCACGGGCAGTGTGATGGTATGCGGTGAGATACCATGGGGTGTAAAGGCAGGCAGGATGGCGGGGGCGCCAAGGGCGGCGGGTCTGGTGCTGCCCACACTGCCCGAGTTGCCGCCCGAATCGCCGCCCGCTCCCATGGCAGCGGAGCGCGATGAGGGGCGCAGTGGCACTCTGGGGGAGGGAGGAGACCGGTGCGTGATGTGATGTGATGTGATGTGATGTGATGTGATGTGATGTGATGTGATGTGATGTGATGTGATGTGGCGGACATGGGGGGGGAAACAGGAGAGAGAGATGCGGATGATGGCAGAGGAGTGAGGAGGAGAGATCGACAAGAACGAGAGGAGAAAGAGGAAAGAGCGAGGAAAGAGGGAGAATTCTTGGCCATCGTTGGGCACAGCCAGCCAGCCAGCCTTGCACCCCCGTGTCATCCCGGTCCTGCTGCATACCTGGCGCGTGTGCGGGCGGGCAGGCGCCCCTCGCCCACGCGGGCGCGCATGCCCAGCGCCCAGGGGGAGTCCGCCGGCAGAGGCAGCGGCGCGTGGGGCGAGGCCGAGGTGGTGGCAGGCCGACCAGCGGGGTGAGGCTGAGCTCGAGCAGTCGAAGGCGGGTCAGCAGGGGGAGGAGCAGGAGGAGCAGCAGCGGGAGGAGGTGGAGAGGAGGGGCGTGTGGTGAGGGCCGGGGTGGCGTGCAGTAGCGATGCGCGCACAAACCCCCTCCTGCGCATGCGCATGCCCACAGAGGCGGTGGACTCAGCCGGTGTGCCGAAGGAGAATGCACTGCTGGCCCCTGCGCCCCCTCCACCACCAGCAGCAGCATCCATGGCACCCCCCTCGCCCTGCCTCCTATCGCGCCCGCCGGCGCCCATGGCATGAGCGTGGGGCGCCGCATGCAGCCCGGCTCTCCCACGCTGCAGCGGGCCGTGCGTGGGGGGCGAGTGCGGAGGGGAGGGGAAGTTGCGGAAAGAGGGAGAGGCGGGCGAGGAGGGGAGGTTGCGGAGGGAAGGTGAGGCAGGGGAGGAGGGGAGATTGCGGAAAGAGGGTGAGGAAGGGGCAGCAGCGTGATCAGCCGATGGAGAGGGCAGCTCAGAGGCTGTGGGCATCACACCAGTGCCTGCCTCTGCCTCTGCCTCTGCCTCTGCTGTCTCGTGCCACGCCCCTAGACTCACAGCACCCATGCCCGGCATCCCAGCACCCTCTCCTCCCCCTCTGCCAGCAGCAACCCCCATTGACTGCTCGCCAGCCCCAGCCGGTCCCCCTGCCTGCCCCCACCGCCGTGCCACGCGCGCCTGCCACTGCTCCGCCTCCTCCACAAGCCTGCCAGGGAACCACGGCACCCCTCTCCTGGCCTGCCCCCACTCGCGCCCTCCATGCCCTCCATGCCCTCCGTGCCCCCTTTGCCCCCCATGCACCCCCACAGGCAGAGCGCCGTCACCGCCAGGCAAGGCGGCAGGACGGGGTATGTGATCCACGCGGGGGGTGGCGTCCCCCAGAGCAACGTCAAAGTCAAACGCGTCATCCACCTCGTTCAGCGCTTCCTCATCCACCTCATGCCCCTCATGGCCCCCATCCATCATATCCTCCATATAAGCTTCCTCGCCTGCACTGCCTTCCAGCAGCCCCATATCCAGCCTCGACCCATCAAGCTCCACCATCTCGATCTCCTCATCCACTTCCTCATCCACTTCCTCATCCTCATCCTCATCCTCCTCTTCCGCCTCCTCTTCCTCTCTCACCTCCGCCTCCCAGGGTGCGACCCCTCCACCTGTTGCCACAGCCCCATCTGTAGCTGCAGCTGCCTCCGCAATGGGCCCTTCACGTCTCCCCTCCTCGGGCGTTTGTTCAGGTGCTTGTCCTGGTATTTCTTCAGGTGCTTGTTCAGTTGCTTGTTCAGGTGCTCGTTCAGGTGCTTCTTCAGGTGCTTGTTCAGATGCTTCTTGCGCAGCTCCAGCAGTCTGCGCCCTCGAAGGCTGTAGGCGCCGAGCAGATTGTCTCTGCAGAGGGATGCGAGGGATGGGAGGGATGGGAGGGATGCGAGGGATGCGAGGGACGGGAGGGATGCGAGGGATGGGAGGGATGCGAGGGATGCGAGGGATGGGAGGGATGCGAGGGATGCGAAGGATGGAAGGGATGGAAGGGCAGGTGCGCACGCAGAGACGGGGGGACAGAAAGAATGCAGCTGTGAGAGCAAGGCACAATGCGCACAGCACAGCCCAGCACAGCACAGCACAGCACAGCACAGCACAGCACAGCACAGCACAGCACCGCACCGCACAGCACAGCACAGCACAGCACCGCACAGCACAGCACAGCACAGCACAGCACCGCACAGCACAGCACAGCACAGCACAGCACCGCACAGCACCGCACAGCACAGCACAGCACAGCACAGCACCGCACAGCACAGCACAGCACAGCACAGCACCGCACAGCACAGCACAGCACAGCACCGCACCGCACAGCACATGGTTCTACTACAGCAAGAAGCTCTTCATCTCATTGCAATCCAGGGCACGAGGGGCGAGACGGAGCATGGGCGCCGCAGGCAGGCAGGGAGGAGGCGCGGAGCAGCACGGACCGGCAGGACGCCATCCACACGCAGCAGCACTCTGAAGTCAGCCGCGTCTTGCGCCTCCTGCTGCATCTCCCACGCACTCATGCCCTCCCCCAATCCGCCTGCCCCGAATCCCCCAGCTCGCTGCTGCTGACTGCGCAGCGCTGTTGCCGCTGCCACTGTTTCGGCCATCGCCTCTCTCCTCAGCCATCGCCCGTAGCTTGTTAGTGCTGACGTGGCACGGCCTGCTGATGCTGACGTGGCACGTTCTGCAGGTGCTGCCATGCTCGGCCGAGCCAAACGGGCAGCTTCCAGTGGTCTCAGGGGGGCAGGTGGCACTGCAGCCACGGGGGGGTTGAGTGCACCTGCAATACCACCACCACCAGTGCCACCGGCAGTGCTGCCAATCACACCAAAAGCACCTGCGCTGCCAGCATCAGTGCTTCCGCCAGCAGCCCCTGCAGAATCACCCCCCGCTACTCTCACCACCACCTCACTCCCCGCCACCTCCCTCTCCCTGTGCTCTGCCCTCCTCTGCGCACCACCACCGTCCTCCTCGCCCCCTTCCACGCCTTCCACCACGCCCCTCCCTGCTAGCCCACTGGCAGCGTCGGCAGCCCCCCCAGCCTGCGCAGCAAGCGTGCACGGAGCAGAGGCAGCAGAGGGGGCAAGGGAGGGGCGCTCGCCCGTGTGCTGTCCGCTGTGCCCGCGTGCTTGCTGCCCTGCATCTTGCCCCACCCCTTGCCGTGCACTTTGCCCCTCGCCCTGCCTTGTGCCCTGCCCTGCGTGTTGACGTGCATCCGGGCGGGCGTGCGGGCGAGGTGGCGGCCGGGCGGGGCCACGAGGGGCGTGGGAGGAGCGGAGCACGCGGGAGCGCAGGTGCTGCGTCTCCTCCGCCTGCAGCAGCATCGCCAGCTGGTAGTCCGTCGCCAGTCCCCGCCCCTGGTGGTGGGGAGGAGGGGAGGGGGAGGAGGGGAAGAGGGTAAGGGAAATGGAGAGAGAAGCATGCACCAGGGGGTGGAGGAGAGAAGAGAGCAGAAGAGAGCAACACAGGGAATCGATGGTGGTGTGGCAGAGCAGGGGTGGGGGGAATCGATGGGTTGTCGCGGGAGAGGGATCAGGGAGAACGGAATGGAAGCACAGCGCATGCAGCACAGCGCATGCAGCACAGCGCATGCAGCACAGCGCATGCAGCACAGCGCATGCAGCACAGCGCATGCAGCACAGCGCATGCAGCACAGCGCATGCAGCACAGCGCATGCAGCACAGCGCATGCAGCACAGCGCATGCAGCACAGCGCATGCAGCACAGCGCATGCAGCACAGCGCATGCAGCACAGCGCATGCAGCACAGCGCATGCAGCACAGCGCATGCAGCACAGCGCATGCAGCACAGCGCATGCAGCACAGCGCATGCAGCACAGCGCATGCAGCACAGCGCATGCAGCACAGCGCATGCAGCACAGCGCATGCAGCACAGCGCATGCAGCACAGCGCATGCAGCACAGCGCATGCAGCACAGCGCATGCAGCACAGCGCATGCAGCACAGCGCATGCAGCACAGCGCATGCAGCACAGCGCATGCAGCACAGCGCATGCAGCACAGCGCATGCAGCACAGCGCATGCAGCACAGCGCATGCAGCACAGCGCATGCAGCACAGCGCATGCAGCACAGCGCATGCAGCACAGCGCATGCAGCACAGCGCATGCAGCACAGCGCATGCAGCACAGCGCATGCAGCACAGCGCATGCAGCGGCATGCAGCACAGCGCATGCAGCACAGCGCATGCAGCACAGCGCATGCAGCACAGCGCATGCAGCACAGCGCATGCAGCACAGCGCATGCAGCACAGCGCATGCAGCACAGCGCATGCAGCACAGCGCATGCAGCACAGCGCATGCAGCACAGCGCATGCAGCACAGCGCATGCAGCACAGCGCATGCAGCACAGCGCATGCAGCACAGCGCATGCAGCACAGCGCATGCAGCACAGCGCATGCAGCACAGCGCATGCAGCACAGCGCATGCAGCACAGCGCATGCAGCACAGCGCATGCAGCACAGCGCATGCAGCACAGCGCATGCAGCACAGCGCATGCAGCACAGCGCATGCAGCACAGCGCATGCAGCACAGCGCATGCAGCACAGCGCATGCAGCACAGCGCATGCAGCACAGCGCATGCAGCACAGCGCATGCAGCACAGCGCATGCAGCACAGCGCATGCAGCACAGCGCATGCAGCACAGCGCATGCAGCACAGCGCATGCAGCACAGCGCATGCAGCACAGCGCATGCAGCACAGCGCATGCAGCACAGCGCATGCAGCACAGCGCATGCAGCACAGCGCATGCAGCACAGCGCATGCAGCACAGCGCATGCAGCACAGCGCATGCAGCACAGCGCATGCAGCACAGCGCATGCAGCACAGCGCATGCAGCACAGCGCATGCAGCACAGCGCATGCAGCACAGCGCATGCAGCACAGCGCATGCAGCACAGCGCATGCAGCACAGCGCATGCAGCACAGCGCATGCAGCACAGCGCATGCAGCACAGCGCATGCAGCACAGCGCATGCAGCACAGCGCATGCAGCACAGCGCATGCAGCACAGCGCATGCAGCACAGCGCATGCAGCACAGCGCATGCAGCACAGCGCATGCAGCACAGCGCATGCAGCACAGCGCATGCAGCACAGCGCATGCAGCACAGCGCATGCAGCACAGCGCATGCAGCACAGCGCATGCAGCACAGCGCATGCAGCACAGCGCATGCAGCACAGCGCATGCAGCACAGCGCATGCAGCACAGCGCATGCAGCACAGCGCATGCAGCACAGCGCATGCAGCACAGCGCATGCAGCACAGCGCATGCAGCACAGCGCATGCAGCACAGCGCATGCAGCACAGCGCATGCAGCACAGCGCATGCAGCACAGCGCATGCAGCACAGCGCATGCAGCACAGCGCATGCAGCACAGCGCATGCAGCACAGCGCATGCAGCACAGCGCATGCAGCACAGCGCATGCAGCACAGCGCATGCAGCACAGCGCATGCAGCACAGCGCATGCAGCACAGCGCATGCAGCACAGCGCATGCAGCACAGCGCATGCAGCGCAGCACAGCGCATGCAGCACAGCGCATGCAGCACAGCGCATGCAGCACAGCGCATGCAGCACAGCGCATGCAGCACAGCGCATGCAGCACAGCGCATGCAGCACAGCGCATGCAGCACAGCGCATGCAGCACAGCGCATGCAGCACAGCGCATGCAGCACAGCGCATGCAGCACAGCGCATGCAGCACAGCGCATGCAGCACAGCGCATGCAGCACAGCGCATGCAGCACAGCGCATGCAGCACAGCGCATGCAGCACAGCGCATGCAGCACAGCGCATGCAGCACAGCGCATGCAGCACAGCGCATGCAGCACAGCGCATGCAGCACAGCGCATGCAGCACAGCGCATGCAGCACAGCGCATGCAGCACAGCGCATGCAGCACAGCGCATGCAGCACAGCGCATGCAGCACAGCGCATGCAGCACAGCGCATGCAGCACAGCGCATGCAGCACAGCGCATGCAGCACAGCGCATGCAGCACAGCGCATGCAGCACAGCGCATGCAGCACAGCGCATGCAGCACAGCGCATGCAGCACAGCGCATGCAGCACAGCGCATGCAGCACAGCGCATGCAGCACAGCGCATGCAGCACAGCGCATGCAGCACAGCGCATGCAGCACAGCGCATGCAGCACAGCGCATGCAGCACAGCGCATGCAGCACAGCGCATGCAGCACAGCGCATGCAGCACAGCGCATGCAGCACAGCGCATGCAGCACAGTCCCAGAATGGACGCAGAATGACGTGACACATGCCATGCCATGCCATGCCATGCCATGACATGCCATGCCATGCCATGCACGGAGCACTCACGAACGGGATGCTGCTCTCCTCCTCGAATGCGCGCTGCAGCTCCCTCGCCAGCCGCTCGTCCTCCGCCAGCTGTGCCGCCCGCGCCACCTCCTCGTCCCCACCCGCTCCCCCACCCCCCTCTCCTCCGCTCCCCCCTGCTCTCTCCGCTCCTGCACTGGGCCCCCCTTGCGCTGCGCCCCCTCCTGCACGCTCGCGCGCAGCACTGCTTGCGGCGCCACCCACAATCGCCACCGCTCCTTGCAGCGCCTGTCCTGCAGCAGCAGCAGGAGTGGCAGCGGCGGGTGCAGCAGGGAGAGCAGGCTCGGCAGCGAGGCGAGCAGCGCTACCGCTGGTGTGTGCTGCCGTCTCAGCACAGGGGACGGCAGAACCTTCACGCGCGCAGGCTGTAGCACGCCCCACTGCAGCGGCAGCAGCAGGGATGGCGCCAGTGGTTCCAGAACCAGCGCCACTACCAGCAACCCCAGCAGCCTCATCCGTCGTCCCAGCGGCGTGTGCAACAGCAGCAGCCGCCAGCGCGACGGCAGGGCGCGGGGGAGCACCCGCGGCAGCAACAGCCGCGACGGCTGAATCCATCTCTGCAGCGGCGCCCGCGGCATGACCGCCGGAGCCACCTGCTTGCGCTGCCAGTCGAGCGCGCTCCTCGCAGCTCGCACCAGCTGCTGCCGAGCCTTCGCCACTGCCGCTGCTGACGCCGAGATTCGAACCCGCGCGGTCAGCTTGCCGGACCCCACTGCACGCGCCTACTGCTGCGGCGTCAAGAGGCGTTCCAACGTCGCCTCTCCGTCGCTTCATCCGGCCGTTTTGGCCCACGCTCAGTGCACTTCCCCCTGACGCGCTCACTGCACTCCCTGACGCGCTCGAGCCCGCCGCCATGCCTGCAATGGAACCAAACGCTATCGCCTGCGCTCGTGATTGATCGTTCGGGGAGAGCATCGTTAGACCGCTACCGATGTCGCTATTCGGCATGTGGTTACCCGTCGCAGCAGCTGTGGTGAGCGACGCATCGTCGCACGCGCCAGGCTGCCGGTCGCCGCGAGCGTCGCGGGAATCGGACTGGCCTCGTTTGACGCCTCTCGGCACCACCTCCTCCATCTCACGACCCACCGCCTCTCCTCCTCCTACACGTCTTCCGTCTCTCCTACCCCTACCTTGCTCCTCTCCCCACTCGTCTTGGTCTTGTTCCTCCCCCTGTGCCGTTCAACCTTTGCTTCCCCTACGCGTGTCGGACTTGCTGCACCGCTAACCGTCGCTCTAAGCGCGGAAGAGTATCAAGCGGGTCATGGGTGGAAGAGCATCAAGCGGGTCATGGGTGGAAGAGCATCAAGCGGGTCATGGGTGGAAGAGCATCAAGCGGGTCATGGGTGGAAGAGCATCAAGCGGGTCATGGGTGGAAGAGCATCAAGCGGGTCATGGGTGGAAGAGCATCAAGCGGGTCATGGGTGGAAGAGCATCAAGCGGGTCATGGGTGAGGGGAGCTCATTGAGTAATCTGTCAGCAGCGTAGGACTATGTACACGAATCGCATCGCACAGAAACTAGCCTGCAGGCCAAACCCTTGAGATCATCGATGGTTGTTTTGTTTGCTCGCGTGACACGACGTGGATGGTGAAAACAATCCCATGCTGTCAAGTGTTTCCCAGAGCAACCGTGTCAGAGGGGTTGAGCTTCTGTTTGGTTGAAACGGTCGAGTACGATGATGTACAGTTAGAAGCGGTATATCCGCTTCACCGCTTCAAACCGTCGCTCATCTCTCGGAAAAGCGTCACTTCGAGCTCGTGTGTGGTACGCGGTTGGGACCTCTTCGAGCCTGTCTGTTTAGCAACTCACTCGCTATATAAACTTGACACAATTGTACGTATGGTAAAAGGGTGTATAAGCTGTACTCAGCTAAGCAACAGAATGCAAGTTCTAAATGCTTGGACTTGACCAGATGACACAACCATAAAACATTTATCTGTGCCTTCAAAATATGGGAAACGGCAGTCTGGTCTTGTGTTCCGTATATTTGGTTTGTGATTCATACATCTTGAGAACGTGTTAGAACCTACCTACTTAGCACTCTACGCAGCATAAGATGATACAACAGTTTATACTTTTCTAATAAGAATATACAGCCGCTGATCAATATGAAAATCTTTCAGGTTTGTGCTGTCCCCAGCCAAGCGCATGAGCAAACCACCGAATGAGACGTAGATTTCGCTGTTGCAAGCAGCAGCCACAAGGAGGGGAGAATGCAAGCAGAAAGCAGATCATGAATCACCAACAAAGTCAGATAAGGACGAGAAGTCGCACTGCACTGCTCTCAAGTAACAAGCATAGGGACAAAATGGATTCCGAGTAGCATCCGATACCAGGCAGGAACCAAATAGCAGGGCGCTGTTACAGAAAACATTCATACCTATAATCAAAGCTCATGTTTTCACCAAAACACACGCCAAGCCACAAGCAGTAGGACCAGAGGGAGTGTGTTGCACCTCAACGTCTCACGATCATGTGGCGAGCACAGGCCAATTAGCCAAGCATCGAGAGAGTGACGGCAGCATGTAGGGACAGAGGCAGCATGGAGAGAGTGAAGGCAGCATGTAGGGACAGAGGCAGCATGGAGAGGGACTCACGCGTCGGCGGCGCTGGCGGTGGCGTCGCTGTACTTGTAGAGCTTGCCGTACATCACGTACTCGTAGCGGTCCATCAGTGACCGCCTCCCCGACTGCAGGTATGGCACACAGTGGAGGGGAAAAGGGGGGGCGAGGGGACAAAGGGGGAGGAGGGGGGGGAGGGGGTTTTGGCCGAGCATCACGTACTCGTATCGGTCCATGAGTGACCTGCCCTGACTGCAGGGATGGCGTGCAGTGGGGAAGGGAGAGAATGGCATGGGGTTGATAGTTGGCCGTACATGACGCTCTCATAGGGAGACATGCAGGTACGGTGGAGAAGAGGGGGGAGAAGAGGGGGGAGAAGAGGGGGGAGAAGAGGGGGGAGAGGAGGGTGGAGAGGAGGGGGGAGAAGAGGGTGGAGAGGAGGGGGGAGAGGAGGGTGGAGAGGAGGGGGGAGAGGAGGGTGGAGAGGAGGGGGGAGAGGAGGGGGGAGAGGAGGGGGGAGAGGAGGGGGGAGAGGAGGGGGGAGAGGAGGGGGGAGAGGAGGGGGGAGAGGAGGGGGGAGAGGAGGGGGGAGAGGAGGGGGGAGAGGAGGGGGGAGAGGAGGGGGGAGAGGAGGGTGGAGAGGAGGGGGGAGAGGAGGGGGGAGAGGAGGGGGGAGAGGAAGGGGGAGAGGAGGGGGGAGAGGAGGGGGGAGAGGAGGGGGGAGAGGAGGGGGGAGAGGAGGGGGGAGGATGAAAGGCTCATATGCCGAGGCACCACGTGCGAGAGAGGCCATGGAGTGGAGGGATGTTGCTACCCTCTTTGTGGCTCCAGGGGCACTGCCTCTGCCACAGCCTCACCGCTTTTAGCTTTCCCTCCCCTGCACTGCTGACGGGACATCAATCGAGCCTGGTATGCACCATACCGTCACGTACCTCCTCACCAGGGCGTGGACCGCGCACATTCTGCCCTCTCTTGTATTCTACGTTGAACTTCTCACTATGCTGCTCATCACGCCGTGAGGACTCACCAGGGCGTGGACCAGGCACATTCTGCCCTCCCCAGGGCGTGGACCGCGCACATTCTGCCCTCTCATGTACTCTAAGTTGAACTTCTCACTATGCTGCTCATCACGCCGTGAGGACTGGGTGGGAGAGCACCAATGGCGAGCCCATGGCCACGCATGCCCCTACCCCTTCTGCTTGCCGCCTTGAATCACCTATCCGGAAATTTCAAACCTCTAACCCTAAACCATGAACCTTGATTTTTGAGCCTTAAATTCTGACCCTTACACCTTCAACCCTAAGCCGAGAACCCTACAATTTTCCCAACCCTGAAATCCAACCCTGCGTAGGAGCTGCCTGGTCAATCCCGCCCACATGATCATACACCCCTCCATCTGCCGCCCACCTAGTCGCACACCCCTCCGTCTGCCGCCCACTTGATTCACACCCGTCCATCTACGGCCCACCTGGTCGTACACGCCTTCGTCAGAGACGCCTTCGAGGCTGAGCGTGGGCGAGAGCGCGAGGGTGAACTTGTCGCCCGCGGCCAGCGGGTACACCTCCGTGTTCACGTCCAGCGACAGCGCCATGTCAAACTGCTCGCTGCGCGCCTCCACGCGCGACACTGCCGCGGGGGCACGGGGGACGGGGGGGAGAAGGGGAAGTGGGGGGAGAAGGGGGGAACGCGGGGAGGGAAATGCAGGGGGGAGGGGGCGAGAGGGGGGTCGGGAGGGGAGGGGGATGGGGGGAGAAAGAAAGTAAGGTCCTGGCGAGAAGAGGTTTGTGGCTTTCCAAAGCACAGCTGCATGTCAAACTCGCTGCGTGCCCGTGGGGAAGATAGAGTTAGGGGTGTGGGGGAATGAAGGGAGCAGAGAAGAAGGAAATGAAGAGACTGGGAGGCGAGTGAAGGAGCCACTTATCTGGCGCCCACTTAAACACCCCCTTATCCACCACCCACCTCTCGCGCGAGGGCACGAGACGCGCAACCCGCAGGACGAGAAGCGAGAGAGCGAGCAGGACGAGAAGCGAGAGAGCGAACGAACCTTTGTCGAACTTCTTGCCGCCGACGTCCATCTCGGTGAGCGTGAATATGTCTTCAAACAAAATGCTGTCCGCCATGGCGGCGCGCGCACCCTCACCCTCTGCGCATTAAAAACCTGCACGCTCTCGGATTTGGAATACAGCAGGAGAATTTACTTTCTGAATGGTTCTGGGAGATTGTGACTGCGAATGTGCGGGTTTTACGTGGGAACGAGATTGCGGGCGGAAATGATCATTAGGGTGTGTTGTATTTGGCTCAAACGCGCCTAAGGCGCACGCGCCAGCGCCAGCGCCTAAGGGGTCCGCGCCAGCGCCTTAGGCGGCCGCGACAACGGCGCCAGCGCCCACGGCGCGCTAGGCGCCAAGCAGCTTAAGCGCCAGCGCCCAATTAGGCGAGTGCACTAGGCGCCAGCGCTTGCTCACGGGCGCGGGTCTCATGTTTCACTCATTCACGCGTCCTACCTTCATCACGACGGTGAGCATTTTCATAAAGTGTTCTGTCTTACCTCACAAGTAATCCCTTGGCGTCTGTCACTGGCGCTTCACGGGAGCTTGTTAAATAGTGTCGCGGGCGCTTCACTACGGGGACTAGAACTCACTACCAACTAGCTCCTAGCTCCTAGCTCGTAGCGTGATAAATAATGTGAGGATGGAAGGAAGAAGTCGGAGGATTAGGGAATGGAGAATATGGGGTTTTGTTTTCCAGCTGTTACGAGTGCAATGGAACGAGATAACGAGCAGCGAGAGGGGGAAGGTAGGAGGTGCGAGAGGGGGAAGGGAGCTGCTGTGGGTGGGGGAAGGGAGGAGCTGTGAGAGGGGGAAGGGACGAGCTGTGATATGGGGAATGGAGATGCTGTGTGTGGGAAGTGAGGAGCTGTGAGAGGGGGAAGGGAGATGATGTGGGTGGGGGAAGGGAGGAGCTGTGAGAGGGGGAAGGGAGGAGCTGTGAGAGGGGGAAGGGAGATGCTGTGGGTGGGGGAAGGGAGGAGCTGTGAGAGGGGGAAGGTAGGAGCTGTGAGAGGGGGAAGGGAGATGATGTGGGTGGGGGAAGGGAGGAGCTGTGAGAGGGGGAAGGTAGGAGCTGTGATAGGGGGAAGGGAGATGCTGTGGGTGGGGGAAGGGAGATGCTGTGGGTGGGGGAAGGTAGGAGCTGTGAGAGGGGGAAGGGAGGAGCTGTGAGAGGGGGAAGGGAGATGATGTGGGTGGGGGAAGGGAGGAGCTGTGAGAGGGGGAAGGGAGGAGCTGTGATAGGGGGAAGGGAGATGATGTGGGTGGGGGAAGGGAGGAGCTGTGAGAGGGGGAAGGTAGGAGCTGTGAGAGGGGGAAGGGAGATGATGTGGGTGGGGGAAGGGAGGAGCTGTGAGAGGGGGAAGGGAGGAGCTGTGATAGGGGGAAGGGAGGAGCTGTGGGTGGGGGAAGGGAGATGCTGTGGGTGGGGGAAGGGAGGAGCTGTGAGAGGGGGAAGGGAGGAGCTGTGATAGGGGGAAGGGAGATGCTGTGGGTGGGGGAAGGGAGATGCTGTGAGATGGGGAAGGGAGGAGCTGTGAGAGGGGGAAGGGAGATGCTGTGGGTGGGGGAAGGGAGATGCTGTGGGTGGGGGAAGGGAGGAGCTGTGAGAGGAGGAAGGGAGGAGCTGTGATAGGGGGAAGGGAGATGCTGTGGGTGGGGGAAGGTAGGAGATGTGAGAGGGGGAAGGGAGGAGCTGTGATAGGGGGAAGGGAGATGATGTGGGTGGGGGAAGGGAGGAGCTGTGAGAGGGGGAAGGGAGGAGCTGTGAGAGGGGGAAGGGAGATGATGTGGGTGGGGGAAGGGAGGAGCTGTGAGAGGGGGAAGGGAGATGCTGTGGGTGGGGGAAGGGAGGAGCTGTGATAGGGGGAAGGGAGATGCTGTGGGTGGGGGAAGGGAGATGCTGTGGGTGGGGGAAGGGAGGAGCTGTGAGAGGGGGAAGGGAGGAGCTGTGATAGGGGGAAGGGAGATGCTGTGGGTGGGGGAAGGGAGATGCTGTGAGATGGGGAAGGGAGGAGCTGTGATAGGGGGAAGGGAGATGCTGTGGGTGGGGGAAGGTAGGAGATGTGAGAGGGGGAAGGGAGGAGCTGTGATAGGGGGAAGGGAGATGATGTGGGTGGGGGAAGGGAGGAGCTGTGAGAGGGGGAAGGTAGGAGCTGTGAGAGGGGGAAGGGAGATGATGTGGGTGGGGGAAGGGAGGAGCTGTGAGAGGGGGAAGGGAGATGCTGTGGGTGGGGGAAGGGAGGAGCTGTGAGAGGGGGAAGGGAGGAGCTGTGATAGGGGGAAGGGAGATGCTGTGGGTGGGGGAAGGTATGAGCTGTGAGAGGGGGAAGGGAGGAGCTGTGATAGGGGGAAGGGAGGAGCTGTGATAGGGGGAAGGGAGATGCTGTGGGTGGGGGAAGGTAGGAGATGTGAGAGGGGGAAGGGAGGAGCTGTGATAGGGGGAAGGGAGATGATGTGGGTGGGGGAAGGGAGGAGCTGTGAGAGGGGGAAGGGAGGAGCTGTGAGAGGGGGAAGGGAGATGCTGTGGGTGGGGGAAGGGAGATGCTGTGGGTGGGGGAAGGTAGGAGCTGTGATAGGGGGAAGGGAGATGATGTGGGTGGGGGAAGGGAGGAGCTGTGAGAGGGGGAAGGGAGGAGCTGTGAGAGGGGGAAGGGAGATGCTGTGGGTGGGGGAAGGGAGATGCTGTGGGTGGGGGAAGGTAGGAGCTGTGAGAGGGGGAAGGGAGGAGAGGACAGAGGTGGGGAGAAGGTGCACTGAGAGGGGGAAGGAGGAGAGGACAGAGGTCCTGTGAGAGGGGGGAGGGAAGGTGCTTAGCGATAGCACCGGGTGTGAACTTGTGGTGAGGCATACGCACGAATGCTCTCCATCCTTCCTGTCTCCGTACCCACCTCCTCACTCCCCTATCCCTTTCCCGCGCCTGGACCCGTTCCCGCTCCTCCCAAACCATTCCCCCATTGGGGGGAATAATATCCCATTCTTATTTTCCACTGCTCCCTCTCATCCCCCCCCTAGTGTCCCATCATTTTCCCCTGGAGTCCCTCTCATTTCACCCTTTGTTACCCCTAATTTTCCCTATGGGAGGGAGGTGCTGTCAGAAGGGGAGGTAGGTGAGCAGGTAGGGTGAAGATACGTGATGATGGAGGGGGGAGGGACATGAGGTGAGAGGGTGGAGGGAGGGGAGGTGAGTGGTGGAAGATAGGTGAGGAAGGGGGAAGGGTGGTGAGGTCAGAGGGGGGATGGGATGTGAGGGTAGGGGGAAATGAAGGTGAGTTCAGAGGGGGGAAGGGAGGTGCTGAGAGACGGGAGAGAAGGTGTTGGGAGGGGGGCAAGAGGTGCTGTCAGAGGGGGAAAGAGGTGATTTGAGAGGGGAGAGTTAAGTGCATAGGGAGGGGGAAAGGACTTGATTTCATATGGGGAATGTAGGCAAACAGGGGAGGGGAAAAGGAAGGTGAGGTCAAAAGGGGGGAATGAAGGTGCGTGGAGAGGGAAAAGAGGGTGCGGGCAGTGGGTTAGGAGGTGATGGGTGAGTTGGAAGGGGGGTGCGGTGCGGTCAGAGGGGCAAGATAAGTGCACGAATAAAGAGGAAAGGAGTTGAGGCACGCGGGGTAGAGGGTTAGTGGTGACGCTGGCAGGGGGGGAAGAGGTGATGTGAGAGGGGAACAGAGGTGCTTAGGGAGGGGGGTCTGGGGGTGGGAAGGGTGGTGCTGGCTGGGGCAATGCAACGATGTGAAATGCGGGCTGGGGCGGTGCAACGATGTGAGATGGGGATGAGATGTGCTTAGAGAGGGGGAAGCGAGGTACTGTCATAGTGGGAAGGGAGGTGAGGACAGAGGGAGAAGGGAGGTACAGTGACAGGGGGAAGGTTGAGAGGACAGAGGGGGGATGGTAGTGCAGTGAGTGTCGGAGTGGAGGTGCTGAGAGAGGGGTAAGTGAGGTGCTGATAGAGGGGAACGAGAGGTGCTGATAGAGGGGAACTAGAGGTGCTGATAGAGGGGAACGATGTGCCGATAGAGGGGAACGAGAGGTGCTGATAGATGGGGGAGGGGGGTGCTGACCTCCGAGACATAGGCGGTGTCGGAGAGGGGAAGCGAGGTTCTGACTGGGGGGAATGCAACGATGGGAGAGGGGGAAGAAAGGTGCCTAGGGAGGGGGAAGGGAGGTGAGGTGAGAGGGGTGAGGGAGGTTCTGTGAGAGGGGGAAGGGCGGTGATGTGAGAGGGGGAAGGGAGTGGCTGGCCGGGAGGAGTTAGGCGGTGACCGAGGGGGGAAGGCCGGTGAGGGGGAACCGAGGCGGGAAGGGAGGTTTAGGCTGGGGGGAAAGTGGTGACATGATAGGAGGTAAATTGGTGGTTATGGGTGTATAGTCCGAGGTGGGATTTGGGTGGTGACTGGGTACTTCTAGGGGCGGTGACATCTGTCGTGAGTAACGGCACAACCTAACGCGCATGTCCTTTTATTGTGCCTCTGCAACCCGTCACCATCCCATCAGGCCTTTCACCACAACGCCATTCCGACTGGTGGCTTTCGACTGACGGACATTTGCGCATCGTGTCGTAATGGCACCAAGGTGAGTGGTACGGGTTGTGTGAGGTTGCGTGTAGCACAAAAGCCATACACCAGCATATGTAATGGACATGTGATCGTAATGGCAGGCGATCCAAGAACAAGGGAGAGACTTTGCAGCAGCAGCTCAAAAACATTATGGGGGGTGTCAAGCAAAAGCCAGTGGGGCTTGGGAAACACACTGTCCTGCCCGTAACCATTATGCGCTGCGGTTTATCGGCACTGATGGGGAGGGAGGCATCGTTCAACGACGTGCTGCACGTCCTCATGGTTTCGGCCTGGGATGTCGTTGTGAAGCTAATAAATGCAGCAACTGATACTTGTAAGTGGCACCTTGGAACAATTGTGCATGGATCAAAACCAGCTAACACTTGCAAACAACCCACTAACATGCCCAAACCACGCCGTTTATGGTAGGTGGGAATGGCGACATGGTGAAAGAACAGGTAAAGTTACAATTGGAAGCACAGCGAGCAAGCTTCCTCGTGAGCCAACCGGGGGAAAAGGCGGACGAGGCGCATCTGCTCCAGAGGATGCCGAAGTCATTGGACGGCTTCGTTTATGAGTTCGATACATACCATCTCAACAAGGAGGGTGTGCTTGAGCCGGATAATGGACGTGGCCACAGAGGTGACCGTCGCGGACCGGCATATCAAGCACTAAACAATGCTGGTATGTCCATGTCACGGGGTGTTGTACACACCATTTCTTGAGACGTTTCGCTGGCATACTGTCGCGCTTTCTGTTTTGTTCAATTTGTCGCACGTCACCCTGCATCTATATGCACTGGTCGAAAGACGTGCGACTGGTCTTATCCATGTTGTGGGTCTCACAACACGCAATGACCCCCTGTTTGTAGGGGATTACTTCGAAATCCAATTATTTTCCCGTGCCCTTATACCCATTTACCCATATGCCACGTATGGTCATTAAACTGCAGTTGCAAGAGGAGATCATGATATGAGTGGCAACGGAGGATCACCCGTTACGGATTCGCCACCCGTGGGATGTGAGACTGCTGTGGCGGAGTTTGCCCCGGTGGATGATGAGGGGCATGTGGAAGAGGGGAGAGAGTTGGGAGAGGGGGATGGCCCCGTTGATGATGGGCAAGAGGAGGGGGAAGGTGCTGGAAGGGCATCCGTGCCAGATCGCCCGAGCGATGGGGCAACTGCATCTACTCCTGCAATCCGGCCCCAACCTGATGGGTAAGTGCGCCTATGTAGAGTCGATGGGTGTGTGGCCTCCTTCAAAAGCTTCCCAAGCTTGACTTGGTATAATGCTAACAACTTCATCCATTCAATAAACACTCATCGAATCTACACATCATCCGTTGATAAACATCCCTAGCCAGCTGAGTTTGTGGCCTCTACCCTAAACTTTCCAAAATTGTGATGGCATTTCCAATTCGACCCCACCACAGCTTATCAGCGGGCCGTGCAGGAGCACCTCTCCGAAGGGCTCTCGCTCGATCATGGCCTCTGTCGGCCAACGCTGCTGCAACTAGCCTCAAAGGGGCGGTATGTCTGTTAGACCCCATTGTATTGCTACAATTCTTCATGAGTTTGGGAGTGGTCTGCTGTCAGGCGACCGCGTGTAAGGGTTCGTTGGTCGTGCGATCATGTAAGATGGCGTGGGCGACGTTGGGGGTCTTGTGGGTCTGTGATACGTGTGGAAAGTCTATACAGTTTTGGTCTACTGAAAGGGGCAAAGTCACCAGGGGTGTAGGCAAACAGGGCCCAAAGACCTCCTTACTATTTCCGCGGTGGTTGGGGGCATTTGTTATGGCGGGAATAGGCTTCCAGCAGCTGTCGGAGGTTAGTCGGACCCTTGGGTTTAAGTCTATCGGGAAAGAGACCTTCTATCGTTACATGCGACAGCCGTACGGTTTGTGGGAGGCTATCATCGTCCACGGGGAAGAGAGCATGGCTAGAGCCCGTGCAGACATGCAGTTGCGCAAAGAGGGGGATGGGTACATTTGCGTGGATGGGCGTTGGTCACAGGCAAGGGAGGCGCAGTGGTGCACTGTCACTTTCATGGATCCACGGTCACGGAAGATGCTGTTGACTGTCACCGTATGCAAAAAAGAAGAGGGAAAGTCATCGACAGAGTTAGAAAGGGTTGCATTCAAGCTTGGCTTGGCGAAATTGAAAGAGTGGGGATTCAATGTGACCGGGATCATAAGTGACGATGGAGGGTCATTCAAAAAGGCGTTAGTTGGTACGGGTATCAACCATCAAATGGACGTGTGGCACAAAGGTCGAGCATTGACACGACTGTTTGTGAAGGCCTTTGTGGAGGCACAAGTGGGTACTATGACAGTGGATAAGGCCAAGTCATGTTCCGAGTTGTGGTCGGTCACACAGAAGGAGTTGTGGGAGTGGTTGACGCTAAAGGGAGGTGTGGGGAAAGGTGTGAGTTCGCGGTCCGCTAAAAAAACACTGATCAACCATGTGTGTGCGAAATTGGGGACGATTCAGTTTGATGCATCGGCAAAGGCTGCTGAGAAATGGGCATTCTTGGAGATGAGGAAAGTGTTGAAGGTCCGGGCGAAGCCGGTTGAACCACCGGCCAAACGACGAAGGGGCTTGGAGCAAGAGGAGGGGATGGAAGTGCAACATGAGCATAGTGGAGGGGGGGGAGAGAACGGTGACGTCGGTTCAACACCCCATGATGTCGGTGCTTTGGGTGGGGAAGCAGATGAGGTCTCTCGGATTCTGGGGATCAAGTGGGGCGACGTTGATACACCATTTGATTTTGATCCGCATCCCACGCATGCCGCCCGGGACGACATCACCCACGATTTCATCAGAGAGTCGGCGGAGTCTATGTTCAGCCTAAAGGACATCGAGATGATGACACGTGGTGAGTTTGCATTCCAACAGTTGCAAATTCCATTTCGCAGATGAATGAATACTTTGTCTCTAATGTGTTGCACATTTTCTTGAACACATTCAGGCGAAGTGGAGTCAGGCGATCCAGAGATGGGGCGAGATCGGCAGGCGGGGGAGCCTGTAGTGGCGGGAAAGCCTGGAGTGGCGGCGGAGCCTGGAGTGTCGGGGGTGCCTGAATCATCAGAGGAGCCTGGAGTGGCGGAGGAGCTTGGAGTGGCGGAGGAGCTTGGAATGGCGGGGGAGCCTGGAGTGGCGGGGCAGCCTGGAGTGGCGGAGGAGCCTGGATTGGCGGGGGAGCCTGGAGTGGCGGAGGGACCTGGAGTGGCGGGGGAGCCTGGAGTGGCGGAGGAGCCTGGAGTGGAGGGGGAGCCTAGAGTGGCGAGGGAGCCTGGAGTGGCGGAGGAGCCTGGAGTGGGGGGGGTGCCTGGAGTGGGGGTCGAGCCTGGAGTGGCGTGGGATCCTGGAGTGGCGAAGGAGCCTGGAGTGGGGGGGGTGCATGGAGTGGGGGTCGAGCCTGGAGTGGGGGGGGAGGCCCTAGAGACTAGGGAGTGTGGTTCATCGGAGGAGCCTGGAGTAGAGGGGGAGCCTAGAGTGGCGAGGGAGCCTGGAGTGGCGGGGGAGCCAGTAGTGTTGGGGGAGAAAGGCGTGGCGGGGGAGCCTGGACCGTTGGAAAATGCCACTTCACGTCGTACCCCAAGGTGGCAGGAGAGGAAAACTGGGAAGCGGAAATGTGCTCAAGAGGGGTGTAGCAGTGAGGACACGGAGGGTGAAGTGGCCGATGTGACTGTTGGTCAGCGCTTCTGTATTCATTTCCACCATTGCATGATGCGCGCTGCAACAAAGGCAGAAGCAGGTCATCCAATGACTCCCCAAGAAGTGTCTGATGAGATTGGGGGGTGCGGAGACCATTGGGCGGGCATACACGCTGGTTGTCAGCGTGATGGTGTGGTCCCACGTTGTGTTAGGGAAGGTTGGGGGGAGGAAAGTGCGCTGTATGAACCGGGTTCAGCGACACACAAGGCGTTCAAAGAGTGGTTGTCCGTCCATTGTGGGCCAGGTCCCATGGCAGCATATGTGTTAGGTGCATCAAACTGGATGAACGAGTCATTTCACTCGTTGATCACGAAGTACGCGCCGAAACGTATAGCGTTCCTTGGCAGTATGCCGGCTCGGGTGGCGTTGAGTGTGCTGCACTGGAATCACGCGGTGGAGAGGGTTGTTAGGGAGTGGCGGACACGCGTACGCAAGGTAACACGAGTGCGGCGTGGGACGAAAGATCGGGTGCTTGGTCCGATGGATTGGCGTTGGGTGGATGAGGTCTTGGAGCGATGGGGAAAGATCAGGGCGTGTGGGGGCAAAGCAGGGAGCATAGGATCCGAGGAGCAAGGTGAAGGGGACGTGAATGGGGAGGAGGAGGTGGAGGACGAGGCTGATGACGGGGTGGGGGAGGGCGAAGAGGACGTGGTAGAAGTTGAGGGGGCCCCCGAGATGGCAGAGGAGGCTGTAGTGAGGTTGGGAGTATCCGAAGGAGATGAGAACGAGGCGCCTCATATTAGCTCCACTCCCATTCGACTTCCCTCGACGCCACCCCGCGCCGGCAGTTGCGCTCCGGCACGCACGCCATTTTCTCCGCTGACCCCCACATCCGATGCATTCGTGTTCACGAGCCCTGCAAGCAATAATGATTCCATTACGGGGGCACGTACACGACGTCGTACCCGCAGCAACGCGCGCCCCTCCCGAGTTAGGCGGACGCTACCGCTTGGTCAGTGTTGGGGCGTGTAGTCGGTACGGTTCTGTTTTGGTTCATATGGTTGCATATATATGTCATTTTGTTTGGTAAGGTGTTTGCTGATCGTTGTGCTATGTGATCATACCTTCCCCAATTCAGGCGTCACGTCCCACCCACCGCAAGCATGAAGTGAATGTACGAGATGAGTGGGCTCAATGCAAAAGGCAACGCAAAATCCCCTCGCGGTATGAACCTACGGCATGCTGTTGGCATGACACTACTATTGTTCAAAGCTAACCTCTAGTTCTTTTATCGCTCTGAGAACGTTTCTTTTCCAACTACAGATTTATGGACTTCACGCATGACCTTGGACCCTAAATTTACTCGGGGATCACCGAGCCTGCATGGTGTCCAATAGTAAGTCCCACCCATTCATTCCCTCTATGCCCTCTCATTCAGTCCCTCTGCCCTCACATTCTTTCAAACCCTTCCCTCACATTCATACTCTCTGCCCTCGCATTCTTTCACTCCCTTCAATCACATTCATTCCCTCTGCCACATCATTCATTCCCTCCGCCCTCAGTTCCATTCCCTCAGCCCTCACATTCATTCCCTCCCTTCCCTCACATTCATACCCTCTGCCCTCCCATTCATTCCCTCCCTTCCCGCCCATTCATTCCCTCTGTCCTCACCTTCGTTCCCTTCTTACATCACATTCATTCCCTCTGCCGTGCCATTCGTTGCCTCCCTTCCCTTCCCGCCCATTCATTCCCTCTGTCCTCACCTTCGTTCCCTCCTTACATCACATTCATTCCCTCTGCCGTGCCATTCGTTGCCTCCCTTCCCGCCCATTCATTCCCTCTGTCCTCACCTTCGTTCCCTCCTTACATCACATTCATTCCCTCTGCCGTGCCATTCGTTGCCTACCTTCCCTCACATTCATTCCCTCCGTTCCCTCACATTCATTCCCTCTGCCCTCACATTCATCCCCTCCCTTCCCTCACATTCATTTTCTATCCGATCTCACCTCCCCTCCATATGTAGAACCACCCTACTTTCCCTCCTCTGACCTCACCTCCTTTTCCCTCCCCCGATGAACTCACCTCCCCTCCCCACGCTGTACTCACCACACATCCCCGCTGAACTCTCCTCCCTCCCCTCTCTGGCCTGTCCTCCATTCCCCCTCTTTCAATTCATCCTATTTGCTGTGCAGTGTGAACCCTTCATCCATGCCTTCACACCCCTTCCACCATCTGCCAGAAATTCCATTCTCCCCGTTCCATCTCTGTCCTTTCCATCTCCACCCTTTCCCCCGATTCGTCTCCTCCCCTCTGCACCGCATGCCATGTGCTCTCTTTCCCCTCATCTCAGCACCTCCCTTTCCCCTAAACCCATCTCCTACGCCGTCCCCCCATGCCACCTCATCCCCCTACGCACCTATCTTCCCCGTTTGCTCTCTCCTCCTTTCTCCCTCTGAACTCTCCTCCTTTCCGCTTTGCTAACATCTCGCCCTTTCTCTTTCCCATCGTCTTTCCCCCTTTGACCTCTCCTCCTTTCCCCATCTGACCTCACGATACTTTCCCCTATGCCACCACATATTTCTTCCCTGCCAGAACCCCCTTTGCCCTCACGCAGCACCCCGCCCCCCCCTCCAAATTGACCCACCAACCCTTTCATGTCTGACCCATCGGCAGCAAGCCCCCTCTATACTCACCTCCCGGACTCCTTATGACCAACTCTACTCTTTGACCCCACCTCCCCCTTCGCCATCTCCCCCCTTTCCCCCCGCCATCACCTCTCGCAGCGTTGGCGGCAACTGAGCAGAGGGAGCAGAGAACGGCGTTGGTGAAAGTGTGGTAGGAGAGAGGGCGCTGGCGAAATACGGACCCATGTACGGTTATAGTGTTACAACCACGCAAAACAGTTGCTAAGCTAGTTTTAATTACGCGTGGAACCAACTTTGTCATGTGGCTTCGTGCTGCTACAGTAAACGTGTTTGGGGAGAGTGCGACGCACGGCGCTACTTATCAAGGGGGAGAGAATTGCAGAGAGCTGCGTATGTCTAAGTGTCCCCATGGTGGTACCCTGCATCACATCAAGCATGGGTTGACTGGTTTAGGTGTAATGATGTAGTGATACATGTTCTTTGCTCCTTCGAAGAGCAAACTTTGCTACAATTTAGTGGCATACACACTAGCAAACGTGATGGCTAGCATTTACTCACACAAGGATTACAACATGCATATTCACACAACACGCGACTCTTGTGTCTCGACCATGTTCGCTACATCCGCGCCCACCGGGGGGCTGCGCATGGTGAAGTCAATCTCACTAGGGATTGTCCAAGACGTGAACCAGTCTACATCTGCCTGGCTACACCCCACGTAACCTTCATCTGAAAGCTCTGGGTAAATTGACCCTATGACTACGTACACAAGCCATGGCAATGTAACGTGTGCAAACGGGTGGTCTCCTAACAGTTTGGAGTACTCGACGTAGCAACGGAAACGGTGGTTTTTTGCTACTATTGGTTGCCCATCTGCATCCTCCAGCGTGTTCTTTCCAAGACAGATATGCAGGACACTCTCAACAGTAACCCTCTCGTCTGTATCACCACTTTCCTGCCCCAGACCGAGCTCGTTTATGGCCCACTGTTCAAGCACAGAGCTTTGCTTTGGACATTCGATGGCAAACTCAGACAGGGACCAACGTTCCTTAGGATAAAAAAGCTGTGGCGGCAACCCAGTTGGCTGTACAACCCTACGTCGGGTCACCCTTTCAACGGGCCGCCAACTGCTGGCAACTACCGAGCGACCAGGTACACCATTGTTGTTCCTTGCGGTTCGGGATGGGACGGAAGAGGTTGATCCCGCCTGTCCCTCCATACCCTCCTCGTCATCCTCCTCTCCTTCAACTCCCATCCTGAACCCCAGCCGGATCCGACGACGCCGTCGAGAATCCCACCGATACATCTTCCTTGGACCTGGAGACGAGGACATAGGACGGGGCAGAGGTAGGTATGACTGGGCGTTATGTTGGGAAGAGAGCGGGGAAGGGAGGTGATCGAAGAGGATGGCGGGATGGGAGATTGGGGGACGGGGGTAAGGTCCTACTGACCTTACCTCTCTCCCCCCACTGACCTTACCTCCCTCCCCCATCTGACCTCTCCTCCCTCCCCCATCTGACCTTACGACCCTCCCCCATCCTACCTTACCTCCCTCCCCCATCTGACCTAACCTCCTTCCCCCCACTGACCTTACCTCCCTCCCCCATCTGACCTCACCTCCCTCCCCCATCTGACCTAACCTCTCTCCCCCATCTGACCTTACCTCTCTCCCCCCACTGACCTTACCTCCCTCCCCCATCTGACCTTACCTCCCTCCCCCATCTGACCTTACCTCCCTCCCCCATCTGGCCTCACCTCCCTCCCCCATCCTACCTTACCTCCCTCCCCCAACTGACCTAACCTCCTTCCCCCATTCGACCTCACCTCCCTCCCCCATCTGACCTTACCTCCCTCCCCCATCTGACCTAACCTCCTTCCCCCCACTGACCTTACCTCCCTCCCCCATTCGACCTTACCTCCCTCCCCCATCTGACCTTACCTCCTTCCCCCCACTGACCTTACCTCCCTCCCCCATCTGACCTCTCCTCCCTCCCCCATCTGACCTTACGACCCTCCCCCATCCTACCTTACCTCCCTCCCCCATCTGACCTAACCTCCTTCCCCCCACTGACCTTACCTCCCTCCCCCACTGACCTTACCTCCCTCCCCCATCTGACCTAACCTCCTTCCCCCCACTGACCTTACCTCCCTCCCCCACTGACCTTACCTCCCTCCCCCATCTGACTTTACCTCCCTACACCATCTGTCCTTACCTCCTTCCCTACACTGACGTATACCTCCCTCCCCCCTCTGACCTCACCTCCCTCCCCCATCTGACCTTACCTCCCTTCCCCCCACTGACCTCACCTCCCTCCCCCCTCTGTCCTCACCTCCCTCCCCCCTCTGACCTTACCTCCTTCCCCCCTCTGACCTTACCTCCCTCCCCCCTCTGACCTTACCTCCCTCCCCCCTCTGACCTCACCTCCTTCCCCCCACTGACCTCACCTCCCTCCCCCCTCTGACCTTACCTCCCTCCCCCCTCTGACCTCACCTCCTTCCCCCCACTGACCTCACCTCCCTCCCCCCTCTGACCTTACCTCCCTTCCCCATCTGACCTTACCTCCTTCCCCCCACTGACCTCACCTCCCTCCCCCCTCTGACCTTACCTCCCTCCCCCCTCTGACCTTACCTCCTTCCCCCCTCTGACCTTACCTCCCTCCACCCACTGACCATACCTCCCTCCCCCATCTGACCTCACCTCCCTCCACCCTCTGCCCTCACCTTCCATTCCCCCCTCTGGCCTCACATCACTCCCCAATCTGACCTTGCCTCCCTCCCACCTCTGACCTTACCTACCTCCTGCCTCTGACCTCACATCCCTCCCCCCTCTGATCTCACATCCCTCCCCCCTCTGACGTTACCTCCATCCCCCCTCTGACCCCACCTCCCTTTCCCATCTGACCTCACGTCCCTTCCCCCCCTGACCTTACAGCCCTCCCCCCTCTGACATCACCTCCCTTCCCCCACGGAACCACCCTCCCTCCCCCTTATGGCATAACCTCCCTTCCCCCTCTGACCTTACCTCCATTCCCCATCTGACCTCACCTCCCTTCCCCATCTGACCTCACCTCCCTTCCCCCACTGAACTCACCTCCCTTCCCCCTATAGCATAACCTCCCTCCCCCCCCCCGTCCTGACATCCCTCCCCCCTCTGACCTCACCTCCTTTTCCCCCCCGACCTTACAACCCTCCCCCCTTCTCACCTCACCTCCGTTCCTTTCCTCACCTCCATTCCCCCTATAGCACCACCTCCATTCCCCCACTCACCACTCCTCCTTTCCCCTTACAGCAATATATCTCTTCCCACATGAGCGCAACGTCCGTCCCCGTTATTGGACAACAGCTCGTTCCGTGGTCTTCTCCTACCCTATACCCCTCTCGCGCCGCCTCACAAAACCTCCTCCCATTCCGCCATCTACCGCCTTTCCGCCTCCCATTCTGTCGTAACGTGTTTTTCGTTCTCGATTTCAGTATGCCTTTCCGCCTCGCCCAACCTTACATGTAAAGCCATCTCATTCCTCCCGGACCCGCCATTTTGCATCTCATTCTGGTCTATACCGCCTTTCCCCCTCCCATTCCGCCCTCTATCGCCATTCCACCCCCCCATTCCGCCCTCTACCGCCTGTCCGCCTCCCATGCCGCCTCCCATTCCGCCCGCTACCGCCTTTCCCCCTCCCTTTCTGCCCTCGCATGTCATCCCGACTCGCCTACTTCCAAGGGCTGCCTTTCAGCCCAGCAAAACCTCCCTCTCTCGCCACTCCGCTTCCCATTCCGCACTATGACGCCATTTCACCCGTCATTCCGCCCTCTTCCACCATCTCCCCCTCCCATTCCGCCCTCTATCGCCTTTCCGCCCGTCATTCCGCCCTCTATCGCCTTTCCGCCCGTCATTCCGCCCTCTATCGCCTTTCCGCCCGTCATTCCGCCCTCTATCGCCTTTCCGCCCGTCATTCCGCCCTCTATCGCTTTTCCGCCCGTCATTCCGCCCTCTATCGCCTTTCCGCCCGTCATTCCGCCCTCTATCGCCTTTCCGCCCGTCATTCCGCCCTCTATCGCCTTTCCGCCCGTCATTCCGCCCTCTATCGCCTTTCCGCCCGTCATTCCGCCCTCTATCGCCTTTCCGCCCGTCATTCCGAGTTCACACTGCACATCCCTTCTCCCATGCCGCCATTCATCCACTCCTTCCACACATCCCTACTATAATCCGCCATTCATCATCTCATTTCGCCGTTCATCTACTGGTTCTAGCCGTTCAAGGTCTTTTTCTGCCGTTCACCCTCTAGTTACACCGGTCCTACTCTCATTCCACTAAGCCCTTCTCTTTTTTCGCCGTCCCTTTTCTCATTCCGCCGTTCCTACTCTCATTCCGCCGTTGCTACGACGGTTTCGCGCTCCCTATTCTCATTCCGCCCTTCATCCTCCCTTTCCTCCCTTTTTCTTCCCATTCTACCCGTATACACATATTTCCGCCCGTCATGCGGGACCATTCCGCCTCTCTGACTCGCGTTCCGCCGTCGTCATCTCATTTCGCCCTTAATATTTTCGTTCCGCACTTGACGCTCTCATATCGCAATTACGGCCGTTGAAGAGGAAGAGGACGAAGGGGAGGCAGATTTGGCAGCAACAACTTCAATAAAGGCCGCGGGAGTGGCGGTTACGGCAGCGACGACAAGAGCTATGGACGCGGTCGCGGCCGATTCGATGGCGAGTGCCATTTTTGCCACAAGAGCGGACACATGTGGCACGACTGCTACAAACTCCCTGATGGTTGGACCCCTGCTCAAAGCCAGGAGGGTCGAGGAGCAGGAGGAGGGAGAGGAATAGGCCGTGGAGGCC